CTTGTCACATAATTACTGTAGATATGGCATTATCCCCTTGGTATAATTAAAACTCACATACAAAAATAAAATACATCACAGAGGGCATATGTTCTAAAGGCAGCCTTGTTTAACTATCAGTGATCTCAGACAAGGTTGGGGAAGTAATGTTAGAGTGCCTACTCGGTTCAAAATACTGTTCTTGTTGTTCTGCCAATGTGTTGCTTGGCGCAGTCAGTGTTAAAAGGTCTGATATAATTATGGCAACAGCATGTGGAGCACTTTTAAGCCTGAGGAAACACATAAAGTCTTGCAGTTAATATTCTAATTTATATTTAAAAAAATGCATATTTTAAATGCTGTAGACTTTGCCAGCTTTGTTGATAATGATTACATGGTCTGTATTTCATTAAATGGAATACAATGGAATTCAATTGACATAACAAGTCATGAAAAAACAATTAGTCTAGAGCTTATGCTAATTTTCTTGTTTGCATTTTTGCAGACACTGGATTGGAAGCGTATCCAACACAAGAATTATGCAGGCTGTACATATTTGGATCATAACAACATTAATTTTAATTTTCACATTTACAATTCCTGTAATAACAAAATTATTAATTAGAAAATAGTAATACGGAAACAAGTTACCTTTTATAAAATGGCTCCAAAAAAAATAAAAAAAAAACAATTACATTACACCATTTTACATCTGACATGGCAACCTTTCCCTCTACATCGGGGGTCAGTAACTCGTAGATCATGGTCTGGAATTGTTCACCCACCATCCCAGATCACCAGGAGCTGCATAAGATGATGCCTCCACTGTAGTGCTGGCTCCTGTCCCATGCAGAGTGATACCAACTGTACTCCCCCTCTTTTTCAGGCTACACTCTCCAGAGTGGTGCTAGCAGCAGAAAAGTAGAGATCTTCAGGTCAGTGTGAAGCAATACACTGGGCATAATAGTATAGGGCTGCTTTCACATTGATGCACTGCGTTTTACCCACACCGCATGTGCAGTGCAGTGTATCTGCAGCTTTTCTGCTCGTTTACTACGCTTAGCCATAGACTTCTATTATATCCTGCGGGTTTGGTGTGCTTTCAGAAATTGCACACCTGCAGGATATAATAGAAGTCAATGGCAAAGTGCAGCTAACCCAACAAAGTCGCAGATGCACTGTGCTGCACCCCCCGATGCAGGTAAACTGCAGCCCATCAGTGTGAAAGCAGCCTTGTATGGGTCTCAGAACAGTAAGGGTTCACTTATATGTGCATTTTTTGGGGGGTTTTAAAACCCCATAGTTAGGACATGTTGTTACCACCCCCCGCCCAAACCGCACACCCTTTAGCTGCAGTAGCCAGGGGTGTAAACATGTTGCAGCCGCAGCAGGAATTGTATGCCCTGTCATGGTGGGGTGTAGCACCTGCCAAGCATGCCTCATTCAAGTGAATGAGGGCAATCTGCAAGTTCCTTGCAACCTCATGCAGTGCAGCAAACAGGGGGCTAAAGCAGGCCGTGTTGTGGTGTTTTCTCATCACCTGCTTTAAAACCTTTTGCAGAAGCATGCAGTTGCAGGGAGCTTGCAGAGTAGCCCCAATTACTTGAATGGGTCACGATTGGCAGGCAGTAGCACCCACCAAAAGTAACATGGGGCTTAATTCCTGCTGCAGCATGTGTACAACTTTGGCTGCTGCCTAAGCAGCTAAAGGGGGTAGGGATAGGAAAACCACAACTCAACCGCAGGGTTTTACCATCCTCCAACTTTATGTGTGAACGAGTTCTAAGGGTGTAGCTGCCAAATGCAACTAAGAGCTCATTCACAAGTTCAGCAGGCACTGTTGGTCCTCTGAAAAGTAATCAGAGTGTGTTTGATAGGTGGTGAGGGGGCAATATGTTGCCTCCTCACCACCTGATGTAAACCCATATTGTCGTACAATGCACGCGATTGCGAAGTGGTAGTATGGCAATAAGAGGTTTAAATCAGGTGTGAGGAGGCGACACTGGGTGACACCATTCCTGGTGATCTTTGACTTCTCCCATGTTGCTTAGGTAGATCTCCACCTCTTTAAGGTTGCCTACCCCTGCTCTACAGTATGTGCAGTTTGTGAGGACTCAAGAGTTAAGAACTCAAAAATACAGTGTATATCCAGCAGAATCTAATTTGGACTCGTGTATATCTGCTTTTAGTTGCACCAGAACTGATTTTCTCAGAAGTGTATCAAACTGTTCTCAAATGCAGAGCTGAATGAACATGAAAGCATGTCCATCATTCTCAGTCTTTGATAGAGTGGGTAAAAGTTACAACCTCTTTTAATGTGGTTTATTGCTTTTTGTGTCCTGTTGAAGAGAATCTATTTACTTTCTGCTACTGATGGTTTGAATTACAATGTTATGAATTAAAGTTAACTCTTTCATGACTGAGGGTAAAGCAAACCTTAACGCCCAGATGCAATTTTGACATGTGTTAGTAAAATTGTACATATGATTGTAACTACTTAGTGTATGCAGCTGGATTATTGTTTTTGTAAGGACAAATTGAGTGGTAAATGGCAATGGATATCTCCTGATTTTATTTTTATTATCAAAGGAAAACTGGCCCAAAATAGTGGGCCAAAATCATTTTTGTTTTTATATATTTCTTTCTATTACTATAATTTACCACCAAAGAACAACCCAAAATAAATTATCATGCTTCTTATGATCGTAGTGATACCACATATGTGTATGTTATTTGTCGTTTGCAACTGTAGTAGGGCCCAGAAACTTTAGCGCACATTTTGCTTTTTTGTATCCTACCTACAACATATGTACACTAACTGACACTGATACTAATTTTAAAAAATGGCTTCTTTAGGCCTCTTTCACATGGATGTTCCAATCGGGTCCTCCTGACCGTTTTGGAGGCGGACCTGATTGGAACCTTTTTCCTCTATGGAGTGGCAGGTGTAAATGGATATATGTCCATTTACACCTGCCTGCATCCAATCCGACCCCAAAAAAGGGATGGATGGGGAGCCAATTCCCTTTCCTTCGATCGGGTTAGATGGAAACGGACAGGTGATGCATTTTCATCCGACCGCCCATTGAGGAGAGTGAGCTGCTCTGTCTCTGCTCTGTAGTAGTGGAGCAGACACAGACCTGTCATTTGCTTGCTCAGCGGGGATCAGCAGAGAGATCCCCACTGAGCAAGCGGATCCGCTAAATTGGTCCGCCCCATGTGAAAAGACCCTTAAAATCCTACCTAAAATATACTGGTTTCGACCACTGACCTCAAACTTTGACACTGACCTAGATCAAACCTTGATCAATTTTTTTCTTTGTATATGTATATATGTGTATATACAGTATATGTGTGTGTGTTGTTGTGGTGGTTTTATGTAAGAATTTATTCTACTTATGAAGGGCGATGTCTTTTTCCCTTAAATAAAATATCACAGTGCCTCCAGCCGTTAAAAATACGGCAAATATTTAATGAACCAATAATTTGGACACCTTAATAATTTTATTACCACTTAAATAATATACCTTGAGTCCTTTTAGCCAGTATGATTTCGTACCATATACACAAAAATTGCCTTATAATAAATAAATAGATACATTTATTTATGTACAAAAATTATATATATATTAACACAAAACGCAAAAAGACTGGTAATAAAATGGATACTGTACACACGATCAAAAATATAATATACCAATACTATACACCAAACAATATTTCTAATGATAATAAATAGAGATGAGCGAATTATTCAAAAATTCGGTTCGGCTGATTCGCCGAATTCGCGGAATAAATTCGCTTCGAGCCGAATATATTCGCTGCGAATTTAACTTATAAAAAGGGTGTTTCTAGGCTTCAGAGAGCCTTTATATTAGTGCAGAACACTGTACCTTTAATTTAAATGCCCTTGGAGTCTGCTGGGGAAGAGAAATAATACTGTCAGTCAGTATGACATGCAGATGAGTGCCGTCGATCTTAGAATCACCGCACACTTCACTCATTTGGGCAGCCACGGGGCCAAAACCAGAGTGTGGAGCCACAGTGTGGCGGTGGAGGCAGCAGCAATGGGAGGCCATACAGCACCCTATGACAAAATGGAACCCACCAGCAGTGTGAGGAGACCTGAAAGTGGCACATGGCAGAGTGTGGCGATGGAGACAGCAGCAATGGGAGGCCGTACAGGGACCCATGACACACTCTGGACCTGGCAGCAGCATGAGGAGGCGGTACAGGGGCCCATGACAGATTACAGGCCTGGCAGCAGCATGAGGAGTCGGTACGGGGGCCCATGGCAGATTACGGGCCTGGCAGCAGCATGAGGAGGCGGTACAGGGGCCCATGGCAGAGTGGCGGAGCGTAAGCAGCTAAAATTGAAGGCCATACAGAGGCCTATGTTAAAAAGTCCCCCCAGCAGCAGCGTGGGGAGACGACTATCAAGAGTCCAATGGCAGAGTGGCGGAGCAGAAGCAGCTTCAATTGAAGGCCATACACAGGCCTAGGTTTAAAAGTCCCTCACAGTTAATTCCAATAACGAACTCTACTCCTCCGTGCAATCTACTTACGAGACCCTGGGCAGGTCTGGGTCCAATTTGTGGTAGAGACTGGTTTTGTTCAGCCATGCTTGAGCGAGTAATAACAGGTCTGTGCTGCCCTTTGGTGTCTGGCTTAATGCGCACAACACTGAACGTCCCAGCGTTTGTCAACGATTTGCCGTTAAGTGATGCAAACCCGCTGAACCACGTTCATGAGGAGCCGGTACAGGGGGCCATGAATCAGTATGGACCTGGCAGCAGCGTGAGCAGACGACAGAGGCACATGGCACAGGGTGGCGGTGTAGGCAGCATTATTCTGAAGCCATACACAGGCCTAGGTTAAAAAGTGGAAGCCGTCAGCAGCGCGAGCAGACGACAGAGACACATGGCGCAGGGTGGCGGTGGATGCAGCAGTATTCGGAAGCCGTAAAACACAGGCCTCGGGGGGGTAAAAAGCGGAAGCCGTCAGCAGCGTGAGCAGACGACAGAGGCACATGGCGCAGGGTGGCGGTGGAGGCAGCAGCAATGGAAGGCCATACAGCACCCTATCACAAAAATGGAACCCACCAACAGTGTAAGGAGACCTGAAAGTGGCACATGGCAGAGTCTGGCGATGAAGTCAGCAGCAATGGGAGGCCGTACAGAGACCCATGAAACACACTCTGGACCTGGCAGCAGCAAGAGAGGCGGTACAGGGGCCCATGGCAGAGTGGCGAAGCGTAAGCAGCTTAAATTGAAGGCCATACAGAGGCCTATGTTAAAAAGTCCCCCCAGCAGCAGTGTGGGGAGACGACTATCAAGAGTCCAATGGCAGAGTGGCGGAGCGGAAGCAGCTTCAATTGAAGGCCATACACAGGCCTATAGGTTAAAAAGTCCCCCCAGCAGCAGTGTGGGGAGACGACTATCAAGAGTCCAATGGCTGAGTGGCGATCCGGGAAGTCAGCGTTGTGATTGCAGATGCAATGCAGAGATTCTATGAGGTAATGCCGTGGGTGCGAAGAAGATCATATACCGTCGTACTTCCATTCATAAGACGGAACAACCTGCGAACCGGGAGCTTTATTGCCCTGACCCGCTGAGCATAAAGAGCAGCTTCTGGGATACCCAAGAGGCCCATGGCAGAGTGGTGGAGCGTAAGCAGCTTCAATTAAAGGCCATACAGAGGCCTATGTTAAAAAGTCCCCCCAGCAGCAGCGTGGGGAGACGACTATCAAGAGTCCAATGGCAGAGTGGCGGAGCGGAAGCAGCTTCAATTGAAGGCCATACACAGGCCTAGGTTAAAAAGTCCCCCCAGCAGCAGTGCAGTGGGGAGACGACTATCAAGAGTCCAATGGCTGAGTGGCGGAGCGGAAGCAGCTTCAATTGAAGGCCATACACAGGCCTAGGTTAAAAAGTCCCCCCAGCAGCAGTGTGGGGAGACGACTATCAAGAGTCCAATGGCTGAGTGGCGATCCGGGAAGTCAGCGTTGTGATTGCAGATGCAATGCAGAGATTCTATGAGGTAATGCCGTGGGTGCGCGAAAGAAGTCAATCATACCGTCGTACTTCCATTCATAAGACGGAACAACCTGCGAACCGGGAGCTTTATTGCCCTGACCCGCTGAGCAGCTTCTGGGATACCCAAGAGGCCCATGGCAGAGTGGTGGAGCGTAAGCAGCTTCAATTAAAGGCCATACAGAGGCCTATGTTAAAAAGTCCCCCCAGCAGCAGCGTGGGGAGACGACTATCAAGAGTCCAATGGCAGAGTGGCGGAGCGGAAGCAGCTTCAATTGAAGGCCATACACAGGCCTAGGTTAAAAAGTCCCCCCAGCAGCAGTGTGGGGAGACAACTATCAAGAGTCCAATGGCTGAGTGGCGATCCGGGAAGTCAGCGTTGTGATTGCAGATGCAATGCAGAGATTCTATGAGGTGATGCCGTGGGTGCGAAGAAGATCATATACCGTCGTACTTCCATCCATAAGACGGAACAACCTGCGAACCGGGAGCTTTATTGCCCTGACCCGCTGAGCAGCTTCTGGGATACCCAAGAGTTTGGCTTCTGTGGGGAATATGGTTGAAAACTGAAACTTAAAGGCATGTTGACGGAAGGGCACCAGTGTCAGTGCTCGGAGGGAATATAGCTTCAAAGCTGACACTTAAAGGTATATCGACGGTCAGAGACCACAGGAAGTGGAGCTTGCGTCTTAAATCGACTGAATGTGGCAGACGTGAAACGTCTATGGGCCGTATATGAAACGGGTTGTTCCTCTTTCTGGAATAAGTGTTGGAAATGGCCACTCTTTTTGGTGTGGCGTTTTGTCTATTTAATTCCGATAACGGACTCTACTCCTCCGTGCAATCTAGTTACGAGACCCTGGGCAGGTCTGGGTCCAATTTGTGGTAGAGACTGGTTTTGTTCAGCCATGCTTGAGCGAGTAATAACAGGTCTGTGCTGCCTTTGGTGTCTGGCTTAATGCGCACAACACTGAACGTCCCAGCATTTGTCAACGATTTGCCGTTAAGTGATGCAAACCCGCTGAACCACGTTCATGAGGAGCCGGTACAGGGGGGCCATGAATCAGTATGGGACCTGGCAGCAGTGTGAGGAGACCCGAAAGTGGCACATGGCGCAGGGTGGCGGTGGAGGCAGCAGTATTCGGAAGACATACACAGGACTAGTTTAAAAAGCGGAAGCCGTCAGCAGCGTGAGCAGACGACAGAGGCACATGGCGCAGGGTGGCGGTGGAGGCAGCAGTATTCGGAAGCCATACACAGGCCTAGGTTAAAAAGCGGAAGCCGTCAGCAGCGTGAGCAGACGACAGAGGCACATGGCGCAGGGTGGCGGTGGAGGCAGCAGTATTCGGAAGCCATACACAGGCCTAGGTTTAAAACTGGAACCCAGCAGCGTGAGCAGACGACAAAGACGCACATGGCAGAGGATGGATCTGGCAGCAGTATGAGAAGGCGGTACAGGGGCCCGTGGCACAGTATGGTGATGGGGGCTACAGCAACTGGATGCCAGAAAGTGGCCGATAGGGCTATATACTGCATGGAATTATAAAGTTGTAAAGACAGCGGCCTATAAGGCTATACACACTATAACAATCATGACTTGATTGACCATTGGCCTTTAAGGCTATACACAGCATGAATATCATGACTTATTCTGAGAGTGGTTTGGAAGGCTATATACAAAAAGTAATTCATGAGCTGTCCGGACAGTGGACAATAAGTACATATATACAAATCAATTCATCAGCTGTCCAGCCAGCGGCCTCAAAGGCGACACATATAGAAAGCAATTCATGAGCTGTTCAGACAGCGGCCTCTAAGGCGACAGATATACAAAGCAATTCCCGAGGTGTTCAGGGAGCGGCCTGAACGGCTAGGTTATTACTAAATATATTTTTGTGGCCAAACATCGGCCTATAAATAGATGTCTACACAGTGACAAAAAATTATGTCGCCAGACAGCGGCCCCTAAGGTGACAGATATACAAAGCAATTCCCGAGGTGTTCAGTGAGCGGCTTGAACGGCTAGGTTATTACTAAATATATATCTTTCTGGCCAAACATCGGCCTATAAATAGATGTCTACACAGTGACAAAAAAGTAGGTCGCCTTACAGCGGCGTATCCTACAAATTGACATTATAAGAAATGGTTTAGACCAAAAAAAAAAACTTTGATGCGATGCTATACCTTAGTAGATTGTGGAAAGTCGACAAGTCAAGCGTAACTGTGTACATTACAGAAAATCTTAACAAGACAACCAAACGTGGCCAAACCGTGACCGATACAACAAGTTAACAATGTAAGAAACAGGAGGGGGCCAAACCGTGGTCAATAAATAAACAGTCCACCTCATTGATGAGATGGACAACACGTGTCAAATAAATATTTTAAAAAAATTGCTATTCCATCGGTCTGGAACTGGTCGACTATAAATAATTAAAAAGTTTAAATTCATGTGACAGTCGTCCAGCGACGTATAAATAATTTAAAAACACCAATTCATGAGGGGCCCGACCAGCAGAGTATAAGTCATTAAAAAGGTTCAATTCATGTGACGGTCGTCCAGCGAAGTATAAATAATTTAAAAACCCCAATTCATGAGGGGGCCCGACCTGCAGAGTATAAGTCATTAAAAATGTGCAAAACATGAGTTGGCCGACCAGCAGCCTCTCAATAAAAAATATATATACAAATGTACGGATCAGGTGGAGGTCTTCCATTTGTCCCTAATAACATGTTTGGGGCATGATTCATGGCGGATTTAGTCAGTTGTGTCAGGAACTGGTGGTTTTGAAATCCAGACTAATCCACGCCTGATTCATTTTCACAAACGTGAGTCTCTCCACACTTTGGGTGGACAGTCGTGTCCTCCGCGGAGTTACAATACCACCTGCCGCACTAAACACGCGCTCCGATGCCACGCTACTGGCCGGGCATGACAGCCTTTCAAGGGCAAATTCAGCTAGTTGGGGCCAAAGGTCAAGTTTCGTTGCCCAGTAGTCAAGGGGATTGTCTACCTCGGTTGGCAGGGTGCTGTCCAAGTAGGCCCAAGCCTGTTGTTTGAGGTCCTGCTCCAGGTCCACCTGATGCTGCTGCTGCTGCGGCTGGTTAGTAGTTTCCTCACTGCGCTGGTGAAGAAAGCTACTCATCATCGACTGCAGACTGAGGCAGCCGCTGCTGGTGGAGCTGCCACTGCTCCTACCACCCCACCCCTCCCCTGCCCCATCACAGGGCCCACAGTGTCTGAGGATGGACGTTGGCGCAGAAAGGCAGAGACCAACTGACTACATAGGTGGTTTTTATAGTACGTTATTTTGGCCTCCCTCTCAGCAGGTGTGAAAAAGGCCACCATTTTTGAACGGTAGCGAGGGTCCAACAAGGTGGACAGCCAAAAGTCATCCCTCTGTCTGATGGTTATTATTCGCTGCTGTCGCTACGCAAGCAACCGAGCATGCTATGGGCCATTTGTGCCAAGGAATGCGAGGGACTCCCTGCCTTCATCTCCACAGCATACTGCCACGGTGCGTCTGGGTCCTCTGTCTCCTCCTCCTCCTCTACCAGATGCTCCTGCTCCTCCACTCCTGTCCGCTGAGTGGAAAAAACCACCCATTTCACTCAATAATTCCTGAGCACCAATGTCCTCCTCTACCTCCTCCTCTTCTTCCTGTCCCTGCCCCCACAGGGGTCATGTGCGTTGAGATCTGTGCGCCACGTCTACCGCACCCTGACCAGCCATTGTTAACAGCATTTGTTCCAGGACGTGCAACAGAGGAATGACGTCGTTCATCCCATAGTCCTGCCGACTCACGAATAGCGTGGCCTCCTCAAAGGGCCTGAGCAAGCGGCAGGTGTCACGCATGAGCTGCCATGGCTGACATCTAAGTTACACAGGGGAGTACCTTTATCCACTTGTAACATCAGGAAATCGGTGATGGCCTTTCGCTGTTCGTAAAGGCGGTCTAACATATGTAGGGTTGAATTCCACCTTGTTTGCAACGTCGCAGATCAGGCGATGCTGTGGAATTCCGTTCTGCCGCTGCAGCTCAAGGAGGGTGTGCTTTGCGGTGTAGGAATGGCTGAAATGCATGCAAAGTTTACGTGACATTTTAAGGATGTCTTGCAGTGGGATGGTGGATTTTAGGAACCGCTTTGACAACCAGATTGAACACGTGAGCCATGCATGGCGCATGGCACAACCTTCCTTGACGCAGAGCAGATACCATGTTCTTTCCGTTGTCGGTCAACATGGTTCCGATTTTCAATTTGCGCGGAGACAGCCATCTGTCGATTTCTCTGTTCATTACACTCAGAAGTTCCTCCCCTGTGTGACTACGTTCGCCAAGGCATACCAGGTGCAGCACAGCGTGACACCGTTGCGCCCTGCACATGTGATATGCCGGTCGGGTAATGGGACTTGGCACGGGGGCGGCGGCTGAGGACACGGCGGAAGAAGAGGTGGTAGAGGCGGACATCTTTGCTGGACCAAGGACGTGCAAACGTGGAGGCAAAAGCGGCGTGACCTGTCCAAGTTGCTGGTGCGTCTGTGCCGGCACCACGTTCACCCAGTGGGCCGTAAATGACATGTACTGTCCCTGACCGTAGTTACAGCTCCACACGTCGGCGCTGCCGTGCACTTTGGCAGAGACCGACATGCTCAAAGACTGGCCCACCATCTCTTCTACATGTGAATGCAGGCTGGTACTGCCTTTTTGGCGAAGAAATGCCGGCTTGGCACTCTCCACCGCGGCTCGGCACAAGCCATCATTTCTCGGAAAGGTGCTGAGTCCACCACTTGGAAAGGGAGGGACTGCAGCACCAGCAACTTGGACAGGAGGACGTTCAGCTTCTGCACCGTCGGGTGCGTGCTCGCAAACTGTTGTCTCTTGGAAACGGATTCCAAGAAAGACTGCTGACGGAATCCGTGAAGAGGAGTAGCAGGAGAAGGAGCATCTGAACGAGCGGAAGATGCCAACGAGCGACAACTCCCCTCAGCAGAGGTGTTGGAGCCTTGACTGGCTGATAGAGGGCGATTGACGTTGGGTGACGGAGCAAGTAACGGAGCGGGTGATGGAGCGGGGGCTGGGGCAGGCAGAACCGCCGTATCTTTATCACGGTTTTCCCCCCAGGCCACCGAATGGCGACGCTGCATATGCTGACGCAATGCTGTAGTCCCAACATTGGCCCCCTGGCCACGCTTGACTTTCTGGCCACATAGTCGACATACGGCTACGTTTACTTCCTCGGGCCTCTTGACGAAAAATTGCCACACCGCCGAGTAGGAAACTTTGCCCCCGCTACTCCTCACTGGCTGACTGCTACTTCCTCCGTGCACACCGGCACCCACTACTGGCCGTGGTGGTAGGCTGCAGTGGAGCTGGTGCTCTACTCCGTGGACGTTTGGCTCCACTGACACTGCTGCGACCCTGCTGCCTCCTGGGCAACCCACCGACTGTTTTGCTCGCTGGCAAGCTGGCACCCTCTTCTCCTGATGATGCGGAAGCAATAGCCTGATGACGACGAGGCTGCCAAGTGCGATCAGCCTCATCATCATCAATTAGAGTCTCCACGTCACTACTAGCCCCCTCGGCTGCGTGTGGGTCAGGAGACAGGCCTGTCTCTAGACCGGCTACGAGCCACTCTCCTCGCCAGTACTTCTTCGTCTGGCTGCTGAAGAGGCGGATGTCTCCCCCCGTTCCTGACCGCCCTCTGTTAGCTCTTCCTCACTGTACAGTGGGGCTGAGCCCACAGCATGCGATACTTCGCTTGGTGAGGGAACACCAAAGGACAGGGGCAGGTCGAGGACACGTGATTTCAGTGGGCTTGCTCCCGGGCCATGCCAACTAACGGTTGTGTCTGACGTACCCACCGACCGTTGGCTGTAGGTGTCAGAGGTGACCTGGGAAGAGGAAGACGACCGAGTCAACCAATCGATGACGGCAGGGTTGTCGGTGGAGACACGACCGCTGGCTGACACCGGGAGCACTGGCCTCTGGCTGCGACTAGTGCTGCCTCGACCCCTTCCTCTGCTGCCACGTCTGCTCGCTCCTAAAACATTGCCTCCTCTGCCACTCCTCTGCGTGTTGTCTGACATACTCTTTAATTCAATAAGCAC